ACAACTTGTAGTTTCAGTGACTTAAAACAAATCATTTCCTCTTCATGTTATATAATCCTTACAGGTTAGATGCATGGCTTAGCTTCCCACAAGCATTCATGGGTCAAATGTTGCCAGTGGCCTTGCTAGAGAGAAGAGAGAACTCTGGAGGGTCTCTTCCTGGCAAGTCATTGTCACACAAGTGATACACATCACTTCTGCTCACAATTCATGGGCAAGAACTAGTCCTATAAGCCCTCGTAATCCATCACCAGGAGCTAGGAAGAGCACTTCTACCATGGGACCAGGAGAGGACCAGAAATATTTAGGGAACAGCACTGATGATCACTACAGTCCTGCCATGTAAGGAGAATCTCGAGCTGGTCCACTTAGATCCATCTAAGTACAGGCATCACAGAAATAGGTAGGAGCATCTTTCATACTCAGATCTTCGCACTGTCCCTGAGTATGTGAAGAGCCCTACTCTCCATCTCAAGGGCTAAATGGCATCTTAGGCTATTAAATGAGGTTTGAACTCAAGGAATAGGAGTTAGTCCTCCTGGTTGACCCAGAGGTCATGCTCTGTCTGCTGTTTATGGGAGTTCATTGCCAAATGTAGAGGGAAGGATGAACAGCATTTTTCCTTCCTCTGCCGAAGATCTGTAGTGCTCCTGGACAAGTTCCAAGAGTTGTTGTCTACTTGTCTACAGGGTTTCCAAGTGTTATTCTGGATGATTCTCCCTTGAATGGAGGGAAGTGGGCTTCTGAATTCCAACTGTAGTCAGTCTCCAAATCCTACCAATTGCTCCCTATTGACATAGCCCCTCTGTTTCTCTCAGCTCACCTTGCTCTCGTTTGGCAGCTTCGGTCTATATTTGGAAGGTGTGTGTGTGTGTGTGTGTGTGTGTGTGTGTGTGTGTGTACGGGATAGGGGTAGGGGGTGGCTAAGGAAAGAAAGGAGATGTGATAGGGTACAATGGTTCTACTTGAGTTCATATTTTTCCACATCTTTTTTTAAAGATTTTATTTATTTATTTGACAGACAGAGATCAAAAGTAGGCAGAGAGGCAGGCAGAGAGAGAGAAAGGAGGAAGCAGGCTCCCCATGGAGCATAAAGCCCGATGGGGAGCTCAATCCCAGGACTCTGGGATCGTGACCCGAGCTGAAGGCAGAGGCTTTAACCCACTGAGCCACCCAGGTGCCCCATCCACATCTTTTTAACTTTATATCTGGACCTTGACTTTCAAAACCCCAAAGCCAAGAATTTTACTTTTTTCCTCTTGTATTGCCATGATAACTCTTCTTGTGGCACACTATGTCTTCTCTAGTCTAAACTGATGCAAAGAGCTTTGGTACAGCATCACAAGAAATACAGTGGGAGAGGGGAAGGAATGGTGGTAGGAGAGAAATCACATAAATGTATCAAAATCTTATTCCACCATTTACTTAACGATTTACTTCCACAATCTTCTTTTTTTAATCTGTAGAATGTATAAGCTTCTATGTATTCATATATATGTATGTATGTTATATATATATGTGTGTATATATATACACACACATATATATATATATATATATATATATACATTCATTCTCTGGTAATAAACCTTGTTTGCAAATGCAAGTCAGTAGAGATGTCCCAAGAATGGGATAACCAGTGAAGGGCTATTGGTGTGGATAGCTTTTGGTAAAGCCAGAGGGTTCCTCAGGCTGCATGAGGGGAACAAGTCTGCAAAGAGCAGCATGCTTCACAAAATATTCCTGAAATTCAGTCTCATGGCTCTTTGCTCCAGAGAGCAAATTCTCTCTCAGCCACAGGAGGGCCCCTGCTCCCCTGAACTGCTGGTTGGATAGACTGGGAATTCAGAGGAAAAATGAGGAGTGGATTCAGGAGCCAAATAACAGTAACGATATCGATATCGATATCTATATCTTTATCTAGTTATAGTGTAAGAGTGTGAATGGAACATTGGCAATCATACATTTCCTCAAACTGGTGACGCCTGTGTTGGCATTTGCAGAGTAGTCTGACCACACTGTGGACCAAAGTCCTTAGCCTTGGCCAATCAATGCACACATACACAACATCCTAACAAGCTCCCTGTCCCCACCCCAGTTCACACCCCCACACAGCTGGGGGCAGCCCAGGGCATGTTTGGAGCCTGGCACAAGTGTGCCCTGCTCCATGGTGACCAGGGACACCACAGACTTGCAAGAGGTACATCTGTGAAGGCTTTGCCTGTCCTTGTAGACGAAGGGCTGGGAGTTCTTCCAAAACCGCTGGCTCTGGGGCACAGACTCTGGCCTCTGCCACCATGCCTCCTCATAGAAACCAGTGTCACCCTACATGGGGCCAGCTTCCGGCCTCTATTTAGTGCGGAGCAGCTGGACAAACTGTGACCTCACTGTGGCAGCAAACCCACTTAAATATTAACTGTGGTGATAAAGATGAATAATTCCTATACCCCCAGGGCACGTATGAGTTTACTTATCTTTCCCATCAGCCCTGAAATGCCGCGGTTTAGTTGTCCTGTACAAGATCTGGCTTTCAAAGCCCTATGAAAACACAGGACAATAGCTCTTCAGGTCCTGAGGCTTTTGATGGGTCTGCTTTCTGCATAAGTTGTTCTTGCTCTTTACAGAATAATGGGGGCCTGAGTTATTTTGAGCTGAGTTGGGGGGTGCTGAGTGTGGTGAAATTATGAGGTGGGGGTTGAAGGAGGGCACTAAGAGAGGTTTAGTTGGGCTTCTCCTTCCTTCCAAGCTTCAGCATAGCTAAGGTGCAAAATAGGTCTGGCTGCCAGTACCCATGGCCTAATCATCTCCAGAGTGGGGCGGTGCTGCTGAGGCCAGGAGAGAGAAATGCTCCAGTGGGGGGTTCCTTTAACTGAGCTTTTGCAAGAATTGTACAGTCTGGCCACGGCTGCTGCTTATGCTTGCCTGGGCTGGCTTAACTCCTCTCGTTTCCATGGGGGGTGTGGGGAGAACCAGCTTCCCCATTAACTTGGGCCCTGCATTTTATCGACTGCAAACACTCAGGATCCCAGTTCTGGGGCCATCTGTGACCTGTCGTGCTATAATAGCTTGGTTTTTCCCGTGTTCAGCTCCCTCCCTGAGTACTTAGTGTTAAATCATAGGGGGAGGAAGTGTGAGCAGAGGAAAAACAGCACTATTACATGACCCCCGATGAGACCGCTGTGATAGAATTAAAAGCTGCCGCCCTAGGACATTCTAACAGATGACATTGTGAGGTTGCCAAGGTAACCCACCAGGATATAGTTCCAGCATCTTTGGGGTTGACGCTGGGTAGGCGAGGTCAGTCAGAGGTGAGTCCCAGCTGTCCAGGGTCTATCCCCTGGCTGGCCAGTCCATAGCAGCCAAGTGGAAAATCGAGGTTGACCTCTACACAGCACAAACGAACCCAACATTGACTCCTCATTGGGTATTCCAGGTGAAAAAGAATGAGAATATTTCAGATAATTGTTCGATGGAGGTTACCCAGAGCCTTGAAAGATATGGAGGTTAAGAACTCATCCATTCATTCCACAAATGTTTATTGAACACCTACTATGTATCAGGTAGGAAGTGTCAGAATATCTAGGGGGAAGGTCGAGAATTCTAGAAAACCCTTACAAAAGGCGGATTCAAGTAGGGAAAAAAAGACATTTACACATTGTTAATACTCAGGAAAATGTTGAGTGGAAGAAAATGGAAATAATCAGAATAACTTATTAACCCCAATGATCAGGTGTTTAAAAAATGTGCAAAAATTTATAGAGTGAAAATGATTTGCTTAAATGAAATCAACCTCTTCCCCCAACCACAACCAGGTTATGCTGCATTTTCTCTCTTTTCTCTTTATCTTCATTTAAATACTCCATGCTCACTTGTGCATTTCTGGCTAACACCTATAAAAGTTACTTTTTTTTCTCTGTAAGGAAAGGATTAGAAAGGATCAGAAAGACTTCAGATGGGCCCTGACTTACAAAACTCAAGGCCTTGGCAGATAAATGACATAAAGATCTTTCCTCCTTTTGGCCTCATAGGTGAGTGTTCAAAACCAGGGTGGTGCCACTGGACCCTTGTGCCCATACACTTTTGTTTGCCCCTGGACCTGGGGTGTCACCTGGTCTTATTATTTTCTCTCAGAGGGCCAGCTAAGGAGAGAGAGCTTTTACTGGTGGTGGTGAGTGATGCCAGCAAGTGGTGAGCTAGAAAGGGAAAGGAACAAAACACAAACAAGAATGGTGTTGGGTGCAGGAGGGAGGAACACATAACAGATGGCCATGGAAAAAGAAAATCAGGAAGAAAATCTCTGAGAGGCTGTGTGAAACAGGAATTCCTGAAGACAAAATAGCTCTACCTTAACCCCTGGGGGGTGGTTATTAGTACCAGAAGGACCTCATTAAAAAACCTCTGGGGCCCAAAACCAGCCCACTACTCTCTGGGCTCCAATGCCTAAGGCCCCCTCTTTGCCCAACCAGAAAATGTAGATAATTAATTAGATTATGTCAGCTGTCTTCTTGTGGTCCTCTTATAATATTAATAATAACGATGATAATAGCTAAGTTATAGAGTGCTTCCTAAGCAAAACCCAGGAGGAAGTGCTATTTAACAATTGAGGGAACAGGCCCAGAGCAGTTAAAGCACTTACCCAGATCACACAGGGAGTAAGTATAGAGGCCAGGCCAACCCCAACTGGCTTTAGGATTCCTGCTTTTAACCCTTACTTTGTAATTTTGTCTTGTTTAAAAAGTTCTGAGAAAAAAAATACTTTTTAATGGGCTCTCTGCCTTATGTTTTCACTTTACCAAGTCAGCCCTGCCTTGGTGCTTTATTTATGTAATTGTCCCCTTGGGCAACCTTAAGTTGCAGTCCAAGATGGTTCCCGAGATCTCAAACCTTCTGGCCACCTGAAGTAGGTGGAATGGGGCGTGGCAAGGAGACGGTGGCATTATCCCTCTCATTAATCACTGACTCAATAAATAACTTAGATGGGGTGGAGGGACACCTGTGGAATGGGGAGGAGGAACTGTCCACTCTCAATTATCCTCCTACACCCTCAGCCCCTTGGTGGCAGTCACCATCCAGCACCCCAGCTAGGTGCCCTACGTGCCCTCCCGCCATACACAACCGTGTTTAGGAGGGGTCGAGAGGATGGATCACTGAGCCTCCGACCTGTGCGCGGAGGGGCAGCGAAGGTCGCCCGCGGGGTGCGGCGCGTGCGGCACGCAGGTGGCCCGCCGCGTGGAGGAAGCGGCGCGGGGCGTCGAGGGGGTGCAGGGCGCCCAGGGGCGCTGGGCGGGCTCGCTGCTCCCGAGGCGGCTGTCAGGGGCCGGCGGCTCCCCCGAAGATGCAGCGCAGCATATTTTGCACATGAGTTCAGAGGAAGAGGAAGTGTAGCCGGCGGACGCGCGGCGGCGGCGGGGGCGCGTCGCGGCTGGAGCCGGAGCGCGCCAGGCTCAGGGCGCAGCGAGCGGGAGCGCGGCGGCCGCGGGCTCCGCGGAGGGACGGACGCACAGATCGCGGGAGGGACGGACACCCGAGCGCGCCGCGCCGCCGTTTCCCGCCCCCACCCACTGGCGCCCACGCCTTCCCCGCGCTGCCTGCGCTGTATGGCACAAACTTTCCTCCCGGGACGGAACACGCTGTCTCGGGCAGCCCGCGCCAGCGCCTTCTCCTCAGCCAGTTCCGAACGGTAGGTGAGCGCGCGGCAGGACTTGGGGTGTAGGCAGGCACAGGCCCTGCCATCTGGCCCCGCGGACCCGGACCGCGGCGGACTGGAGGAGCCCCGCGTGGCTCCTCCTTGCAGGTTGCCGCGGTGGCCAGAGGGCCACCGCCCCCCCGTCCCCAACCACATCCCCGGCCCGGGTTGGATAGGGTCGGCGCCGATCCACAGCACACAGCGGTCTTGGCCAACTTTTTTTTTGGGGGGGGGGGCGGATAAATCGTCCCTGGCACGCTATGGGGAGAGGCACCTAGAGCAGTTTGTCAGGGGTCGTGGGCTCTGCAGGCTCACAGCGCCAAAGAGAGAAGCAGAGGGGAAGCTTTGAGGCTACAGGTGGGTCTGGGACACAACTGCAGGGGGTCCTTGGCAAAGATCAGACAGGAGCTGGACACGAAGTGCGGGTTCAGGATGGCGCGAGGCTGGGTGGGGTGGGGAGTTGGGAGGCTCTAGCTGCCCTTCTGCGTGCGCCCTGGGAGGTGGGTTTGTTGGCGCAGGGGTGCTGGATAGATGGGAGCAGACCTGCCGCGCGTCCTGAGGAAGCGCCGCAGCCACCAGCGGCACAGAGACTCTGGGGCGCGGGGAGTCTCCGGCACTGAAAAGGGCATCTCTCCTTCCGTAAGGGGATTTTTTTTTACTTGTCCTAACCCACTTTCCCAGGCTCAAGGGACGCCAGGGTAGGTCTTGGGCCAAGGTGGGGTGGTGGCGGTGTACATTTCAGAAAACCCGATTGTCAGGCACGCAACACTCCTCCACCTCCCCTGACCAGGGCTTGTGCCCTTGACCCAGGATATCGCGGTCTTGGCATCCAGAACCACGTGGAAGCCAAAAGTGCTAGACCCAGGCACGCTCCCTGCTTCCTCCGGTTTGATCATGCTTAGCTGCCCCGTGTGGTTGTGGGTGTTCCCGGGGACACTGGGTGGTGGCAGTGAGTTTGTTGGGGGACTTAAACAAAATGTATGTATGTATATATTTTAAGTCTCACACAAAAGCCAAATTTGAGTGCCTGCCCTGGGTTTCAGGCAACAGTCCTTTCTTGTAATTGGTACAGCTGTTTTCAGATGCTGGGCGCACAGTCAGGCCAGGCGTCTTCCAGCCCCTGCCATCGTGTGTCATCTCAGGATAAGTGAGGCTCTGCCAGGAAGGGCGGCGGGCTTAATGTGAGCCACCTCTGGGCCTGTGGGTAGGGCACACTATGCACACCACGTGTCCTGGCTGCCGGGATTCCAATTCGTACCTCCAAACAGCTGAATTCCCAATGAAATTCAAGTGACCCCAGATGTCACCAAACCCCACAGAGGGGTTAAGCAACAAACTGTTTGGGGCTCTTTGGTGCGTGCGTGTGTGCTAACCTCAATGAAATCACTTTAACCTCAGGCTGACTCTGCATCCTCTTTTGCCTTCAGCAGGGTTTCTGGTCCTGAGAACTGGGACTTCATCCTCTGTGTATCAAGTCCCTGGGTTGGTGTTTCTTTGTTAGTCTTTTGGCTTAATGGACACCGGGCAAATGGAAGTGGAGTGTTGTGCAGTTAGCTAATAGATTGGTGCAGGAATTGAAAGAGAACAAATTAGGAATGAGTTCTTTTTCTCCCTCTTGAGCAGGAATTTTTGGCTTCCATTCAAATAATTGCTTTGTCTGTAGGGAAACAGGCAGAAAATCTTTGGCATGAGTGATGGGAGTTCCTGTAAAGCTTCTTGTGTTCTTCCAATCTTCACTTTTCTGCAGAATTGAAACTATATGGGCCCATGGTTTGGTGGGCGTGGATGTCTTGCCAAATTTCTAACTGGGGGGGCGTCAAGGAGAGGGTATTATGACTCCCCACCTATCTCCTTTTTAAAAATATAAAAATGTTGCAAGAATAGGGGCGCCTGGGTGGCTCCGTCATTAGGCATCTGCCTTCGGCTTGGGTCATGATCCCGGGGTCCTGGGATCAAGCCTGGCACCAGGCTCGTTGAGCGGGAAGCCTGCTTTTCCCTCTCGCACTCCCCCCTGCTTGTGTTCCCTCTCTCGCTGTGTCTCTCTCTGTCAAATAAATAATAATAAAAAAAACTTAAAAAACAGTTGCAAGAACAGTAACCATTCAAATACCCATATCTAGAGAGTAATTTAGCAGTACTGGCCTTATTATGCATCTGTCGACCTATTCATCCCTCTGTCCATCTTAAGTCCCAACTTAAGTCCCATCCATCAGTAAATCTCAACTTCTTGTTTTATGCACTTTAAAGTAAATTATAGACATTGACACAGGTCACTCCTTAATGTTTCAGTGCACATTTTATTATTCAGAGTTCAATATATGTTCATGATTGTCTTAAGGTAAAATGCATATGCATAGAGTGAAATGCACAAATCTTCAGAGTAATATTTGCATAATGTTTTGATAAATGTGTACACCTGTGTAATCCTAGTTGCGATCAAGATAGGGAATATTACCATCACCTCAGAAAGTTCCTCATCCCCATTTCCAGTCCGTCCCTGCCTCCTTTCAGTGGCAATGACTGCTGATTATTTTTTACTGTTAGTTTAGTCTGTTCTTGAATTCCTGTAAATGGTGTTCTATAGTATCGTGTAAAGCTTCTTCCATTTGCCATATTTTTAAGATTCATCCATGTTCTCTATCAGTATTTTGGTTTTTTTTTTTTAAATTGCTGAATTATATATTCCAGGACATGTCCATACCACAGTTTGTTAATATATTCCTCCCATTGGTGGACACATGAGTTAGTTCCAGTTTTGGGGAAGTATTGTAAATGAAGCTGCTATGAATATTTGTGTACAAGTCTTCCTAGGGACATATGTTCTCATTTCTCATGGGTAAATGCCTAGAAATAGAATCATTAGGTCACAGAAGGGGTATATGTGAACCTTATAAGAAGCTGCTGGGTCTTTCCCCAACACGGTTGTACAATTTTTGTAGCCCTACCAGCAAAGAATACAAGTAAGAGATTCCAGATACGACAACCCTGTTTTCCTGTCCCAAAGTCAAGGGCATGGCTTGACCAGTGTTTCTGGGCTAGCAGGGTACAGCAATTGGATACCTTAGACAGTCCAAAGCACGTTGCTTTTTTTATAGGTGGAGGAGTTGTGAGAAATCTCTAACTCTGCCAGTAAGTGAGTTCACACTTAAATTATTACAGATGATCAGACAAATATTTTACTTGTTGAGATCTTCAGAGAAGGGAATTCCACAGGGTAATGTACCCTTGGTTGTGAAAGAAGATTGATTGAGTACTTTCTATATAAAGGAAAAATAACTCCCAAACCCACAGAATTCCACCACACTTCTGCTAGCTTCTCCTGGGGGATTTCTGACGTATTGGTCTGGTTGATGTGAACTTGGTGGAGGAGATCCCCGTTGGACTTCACCAGCTTGCGCAGCTGGCTGCTGAAACTGGGTTGTGTTTGCTTTGTGAGGCAGATCAGATTTGGTTTTTTGAAGGCTCAGAAACCAGCTCTGCTGTTAAAGTGATTTGGCCTGTCAGTGAGAAACATGACCTGTCGACATGCTCTCGTGGTCCTGGCTGAGAAAACAGGCCAGGTCCCCTCAGGTCCCCTTACACTTTGGTCCCGTTCCGTGGCCTTGGATGATTCAGGAAACAAGAATGGAGCCTCCCAGATTGCGTGGGACCCTAGAATGAAATATTTGCGTCTGGCCAAAGTGTCTCAGTGGGGTCAGATGACAGATGGCACAGAGTCTCGAGTCTTTGCACTGTGTTTGGAAACTGTTGTGATCTGACAGCCTAGGACAGTGCCTGCCACAGAATAGGGGCTCAGTAAGTCTCAGCTGAATGATTCTGGTGACTTGTGGTACCTGACTGGGTGATTGCCCATCTGGGGGTTGACTGTGAGTGCCGAGATGTCCCCAAGATATATCTCACGGGTATTGTACTTCACTGTAGCCTTGGAAACAAGTTCAAAGTTTTTCGGCCTAGGAAAACCTGTCGGCTGTCCACTTCTATTTTAGTAGCACTGTTCTTATTTTATTGCAGATTTCACTATTGTTATTAACAAAATAATAATTATAGCTGCCACTTTCCCAGTGCTTACCCTTGGCCTGGCACTGTTAGGCACTCTACCTGCATTCTTTGAATTTAATCCTCAGGAGAAGCGAGTACTACTCTTATCTGCACTTTAGCCTTGAGGAAACTGAAGCTTAGCGAGGTTAAGTAATTTGCCTTAAGTTCACTTTTTCATGTTTCCTAGACATAGGGAAGAGACCGTGACGTTCTGGTTTCGCAAATGAGACTACGTCTACAAGCACAGATTTCCAAATACATGAAGCCATGGGGTGACAGACACGAAAACTGGAGAGGCACAACTGCACGGGAAGAAATGACACCCCCGAATCACTTTCTTCCATCTAAGTTTTCTGAGTTTGGGGCAGCCAGGGCCTGTATTGAGATACCAAGTATTTTGGTGATAATTTAAAACACTGTTGGTTGGCTGTGATTTTAGTTTCACTGGAGGAAAAGAAAAACATTGCCAGCTGTTAAGTGTCCTAGCTAAGCAGTCCCGCCCCTTGGCCACCACCTACACATGGCCATGTACATTTCAATGTAAAATGAATTAAAATGAAAGAAAATAAAAATTTCAGCTCCTCAGTCCCATTAGCCACATTTCAAGTGCCCTAGAGCCACACGTGGTTATTGGCCCAGGCCTTGGATACTGCAAAGGTGGAGTATTTTCATCATGGCTGAAAGTCCTGCTTGCCCTATAGTAAGCGTCTCTCTCTTTTCCTTCATCGAAGAATGGGCAACACACTTGGCTAAGGCTTAGGCTCTTTTCTCACTGACAAAGAGGAACATTTAGCCAGACATTTCTTTTAAGTTTACCTTTTAAAGGTTTTGCATGTGTGTGATCTTTCCTCCCATTCACATTCAGTTTTTGACATAAATTTAAGTTTCCCTTTGGTCCTGGGCCCCCAAAGGGGCTTTCGTTATTATCATTGCATATTTTACCAGAATGGTTTCTG